AGAAGTACAGCCACAATCTGAGTACAGAAGGGCCTGACTCCAAAGTCCTGCTTTTGAGATGTGAGCTTGATACGTAGCCCAGGATAGCCTTGGATCTGGCAATCCTCCTGTCTCAGTCTCCCAAATGCTGGGGTTACAGGCATGTGTGTCATCATGTTCAGCTTGGTTCTTTACACTGGTGGGGATTATGACCGAGTGGTGGCAGCTGGGTATTTGGATTTTGTTGGCTGCAGAAAGGTTTGACTACAGGGTAGTTTCCATGTAGAACTCATCCATTGAAGGGGCACATACTGGGAACAGGCTCTTGTTTTCCCACCCTTGTTCTTTTCTCCCTTCCACCCTAGCGAAATTGTCTAAAATTTAAGAGTCTCAATCAGGACATTTCTCTTCTCTGGGTTGCAAGAACAGATGAACAGTAGTTATACACTTGTCTGGAGCCAGGAGTAAAGCTGACAGCCAGCAAGGGAGCCTGGAGTAGCAGAAAGAACACAGACTTAGGCATCAGCAAAGTCCCAGCCCTAATGTAGCCCCACACTTAGTGGTGTGACAGCATGGTGACCAACATCACTGAGCCTCAGATCTGCACCTGCCAAACAGATATTAGGGAACATCTTCTCTAGGCCCCTTGTGAGGACTGAACAAGTTTAAGATGCCTACATAATGTCTCCCAAGCCGAGGCAAGGTTGTATCAGTGTCTGGAAGCCATGTTCATTGGGCTTCTGCTGTTCTGTTCTGAAATACTACTGGCCAGTGTCTAATGCTAGCTGGATACTTCACCCTGCTTTTCTAGGCATGGGTTTTGGGGATACTTATTTTAGGAAACTATCAGATGTGTCCAACCCATGGTCTCTTGGCCACATGGGGCCCACGATAGCTATGAATGTGGCCCAACATAACTGGCAAGCTTATTTAAAACATGAGACTTGGGCTGGAGAGATGGCTCAGTGGTTAAGAGCACTGCCTGATCTTCCAAAGGTCCTGAGTTCAATTCCCAGCAACCACATGGTGGCTCACAACCATCTGTAGTGAAATCTGTCATGGAGACATTCATGCAGGCAGAACACTGTGTACATAATAAATAAATAAATAAATCTTTAAAAAACAAACAAACAAACAAAAAAGCATGAGACTTAAATATGTTTGTGTGTTTTGTGACTTGACTGTATGGGTTTTTGAGCTTGAATCTTGAAGATGACAATGTAGTATTGCAGTGTCAAAAGGCTGGAACTGTCTGCTCGGGTTTGTGGGTACAAGCTACGTTTTACGTGCAGTACCAGAGGATCATGGGGAAGGCAATAAAGCCTGGCAAATGCTAGAGGATAAATTGCTAGAATTTTCCAAACATACTCAGCCACAGCTTTGTAAGGACATACTTTAAGAGGTGCTGGCTGGCCGGGCGTTGGTGGCACACGCCTTTAATCCCAGTACTCAGGAGGCAGAGGCAGGCTGATCTCTGTGAGTTCGAGGCCAGCCTGGTCTCCAGAGCGAGTGCCAGGATAGGCTCCAAAGTTACACAGAGAAACCCTGTCTTGGAAAAAAAACAAAAAACAAAAAACAAACAAACAAAAAAGAGGTGCTGGCTGTGCCAAACCTCAGCACTGAGCCCCAGTGGTGTCCTGATTCTGGGTGAGGCCCAGCTTTAGCAATAGGGTTCTTACCTGCACTGATAAGCCTGGCCATTCTGGTCGGTCAGGATGAAGTAATGGCCATTCCAGGCTTGTGGATCCTTGTCCAGAGTCACGTGGGTGATGTTTGTGTTGTATAGCACGCGGAGCCCCAGGCACTTTGCGAAGTCACCTAGGTAGTGCACCATGTCGCTGGCGTCTGGGAAGTAAGCCTTCGAGTAGTGTCTGAAGAGCAGGCGTGGGTCGTCGCTGAGCAGTGAGTTCCAGTCGTGGCGGAGGTTGAACTCGGCGTTGGCCTTGCCTGTGTGCCGCTTGTTGATGCTGATGAGCTTGCGGTGGCGCGGGTAGCGTGTGAAGAAGCTGCCGGGTGCTGACTCGCGTTCGAACACCTCGTAGTCCCTGCCGGCCCGCTGCAGGAGGGCGGCCATCTGCAGGCCCGCGGGACCCGCGCCCAGCACGCAGTAGTCCCGGTGCGGACGGGTGCACACCGCCAAGTGCATGGCTAGGGCCAGCAGCAGTCCCAAGGGACCCATCCTGCAGCACAGCAGAGGGGAGGCCTCACACCTCGTGGCTGGCAGCAGGTGACAGCCGGCTTTCCCGAGGAACCAGAAACCTCAGGGGCACGCCTAAGGGGCCTGGGGCTGGGCCAGGATTGAGCACCGGGACCTAGGGACTCATCAATCACGCCTGCATCCCCTCTAGGTGGGATCAAGGGCCCATAGGAATCCTGAACCCCCACAACTCATCTCCATAGTCTTCTTTCCCAGGGCGCCAGACTCCCTTATTGTCATGGTAACTTCCACCCCAGGGGAGAGGCAGTTTCCTCAATTTCCTCTCATTCTGGATGAGCCCTACATTTTGGGGAGCCTCCCCAGGTAGGACCCTTTAGAGGCACACTCACCCTACACTTGGGGCGAGGCGGGGGCTGGAGCTGAAGAAGGTGTGGCCTCTAAGGCCCCGCCCCACGCCCC